TTCAGGTATTTATTCTGTTTCTCTGTTTTTTTCACACCCACTGATCCATTTCCCTTCCGTCTGTTTGGGCTTCAGGCTCCTTTCATCTCCGGACCTGCGGCTCCGGCGGCGCGCAGCGGGTTAACGGACGGAGGCGGAGGCGGACAGAAGAGACGTCTGGAGGGAGAGAGAGGGCGGCAGAGAGCTTCAGCCGCACCAGTGTTGTTCCTGCTGCCGACCGGAGAGGACCGAGAACCACCGGAGAACCACCGGAGAACCACCGGCGGCTTGTTTACAGGTAAAAACCCGTTTTGATCCCGTTTTGTTTATGGATCTGATCGGAGGATGATGAGAGGATGGAGATGCTGGAGAGGATGATGATGATGATGATGATGATGGGGATGAAGGAGGAGGAGGCGCTGTTCAAAACAAAACCTCCAAAATAAACCCGGTTCGATCCGCCCTGAGCCTCATTTAGCGCGTTTAGAACCCGAACCAGGCGCATTTATGAGCGGATGGATCCCACCGCGGAGCCTCGGTGCGGGTTTTGTGCGTGTGCGTGGTTTCATTGTGTGTCCGTGGGGCGTTTTTCCATCCAGCTCCTTACTACGCACATTGGCACAAACCCCGAACCGGCTCGTTTCTGACCCGTTTTTAACGGATTTGGACCCTAAACGAGCCGCTGTGTTCGGATTGCGCGTAGATTTTCGGTATTCGGTGGCTCCGCTCGGGTCGGTTGTAAAATGGAGGCTGGTGGAGGCTGGATGGAGGAGGAGGAGGATGCTGCCTCGGCCTCCTCCGCCTCCCAACCTGCTGGTCGCATCGCATGGCGTCCGAAACGGTGCAAATCCGCAGAAATAACCGTGAAACGACCCGATATCCAAACGGTTCTGCTGCTGTCTGCTGCTGGTTCTGGTGGTTTCCAGCCCGACCAGCGCTCCCAGTTTGCTCCTGCAGCTCTTGTGATCAATACAAGGTCATCGTAAACTCCGGAGGCCTGTTTATACCAAACCAGCCGTTTATCAATAATAAACCAGAGCCAGGCTGTTTGGATGCTGTTTGACTGTGATGATGAAGCTGCAAACATCATCCTCTGGTCTGATCAGCAGTTCATCAATAACAACAGTCTAAATCCTGTGATTCCAGCTTCCTACATGTGAATATTTTCTGGTTTCTTTCCTCCTCTGTGACAGTAAATGAATTTATTTGGACAAAACGAGACATTTTTTTACATTTTATCGACCAAACGACCAATAATTCAACCAAAACAATCAACAGTGAGAATAATCGGCTACCTTCTGCTGTTCTAACATTTTCCTCAGTCTGGTTCAGACCGGCTTCAACACATGATGGGAAATCTGCATTTTAAAAATGAATAATTAGTTCCAACTGGACCGGACCAACAGAACCGCTGTCCATGTGGATCAGAAGGAAAACAACGAGGGAACGTAGACGTTACCGTGATGGAAACCAAGTGCAGTGTGAGAAAACGCAAAAGTAGTGCGAAGGAACGGGAGAATTATTACAAAGAAACATAAATGTTGTTGTCAGGGAACATCACAGTTACAGAAAGGAAACATGGACGGTATCGTAAGAGAACGTCTTTGGATGGAACGCAAAAGTATGGCGAAAGAAAACAGAAACATTGCTAGGGAACACAAATTTAATTGTAAGGGAACGTCAAAGCTATTGCGAAGGAACAAAAGTACACGAAAATTATTGCAAAGAAATACAAACGTTGTTGTCAGGGAACATCAAAGTAATGGTCAGGAAACATGGAAGGTATCGTAAGGGAACGCAAAAGTATTGTGAGGGAACGTCAACGCTAATGCGAAGAAATGCAGAAGTTATTGTGAGACAACACAGACGTTATTGTGAGGGAACATCAAAGTTTGAAAAGGGAACATTGAAGATAACATAAGGGAACACGAACGTTATTGTAAGGGAACATTAACGATATCATAAGGGAACGTCAACGCTATGGTTAGAAAATGTAAATGTTATGAAAAGGGAACATGGAAGCTATCGTATGGGAACGTCAACGCTATTGTAGAGAACGTTAAAGCTACTGTAAGGGAACATTAACGTTATTGCGAGGGAACGCAAAAATATTGCGAAAGAAAACCAAAATATTGCAAGGCAACACAAATTTAATGGTAAGGAAACATCAGAGCTATTGCGAAGAAATGCAGAAGTTATTGTGAGGGAACATCAAAGTTATGAAAAGGAAACATGGAAGGTATCATCAGGGAACGTCAACACTATTGCGAGGGAACAAAAGTATTGCGATTGTCTCTAAACTCACTGCCATGAAACACAAAAGCGGCCCTCAGAACCAGCTCCCTGTGACCTGCAGGTGGCGCTGTACGGCTCTAACTGCTCAACTTGTTCCGCTGCTGAAAGCCGTCGTTTCCTTATTTTATTTCGGTTTAATTTGTGAATTTCTGGCCGTGCAGAATGAAACCCAACAGACTTGAGGGAGGTGCAGCCGACTGTTGAATAAAACATCTGTAGAGACGACGAGACGTTCAGGTTTGATTCTGTAAAACGTAAATATTTGTGTATCTGAGGTCGGACTGATCCGAGGACGAAGGTGTGAGAACAGGAAGTTGAGTCAGAACCTTCCTGCTGCTCTCATGCAGATTTATTCAGATCGTCGTGTGTTTTCGTGTCGTATTTGTGTGTCCACGGTGACTCATGTGTTACGTAACCTCGGTGACCTCGGTCGAGTCTGTTCGGATGCTGATTAGAGTCCAGCTGAGACCAGATTACGTAAAAAACACACGTTTGAACAGAAAAAAATTAAACGCAGCAGGAAGTTTAATCGAGCAGAAAAAAACAAGACACGTGTGTTTGTCACGTGTCGTTTCCATCATGTTGCGTTTAAGCAAAAAAGAAAACATAAGTCATTCAATTTACAAAGTCAGAATCGTCTCCACATCTGATGCAACTGATAGCAACGTTAGCTTAGCATGTAGCCGCTGCAGACAGTGACTCAGATTAAACAACAACAACAACAGAGCTGCTGTCTGAGTGGATTAAAGTGTGAAGCTGTGTGTGTGGCCCAGTTATGACCAGACAGATGATGAGGACGTCACTGGTTTAACTGGGCTCCGGTCCTGCTGGGTCTGATGGCTCCAGTCAAGATTTATTACAACTAAACCGCATTTTACACTCTAAAGGAAACGGGTTTTCTTCTGTTTTTTTCACAAATGTGTTTGTAACCAACAGATCTTTTATTTACCAGGTATGTTACTGATGTATTTGTTGTTGTGAAGTTATTGTGTGAGAATCCAAAAGCATTGCGAGGAAATTCAAAGGAAATGCGAGGGAACACGAACATTTTTGCGAGGTGACGGAAAAGTTATTGTAAGGAAACAGCAAAGGTGAATGTTACTGTTAGGGAACTAAAAAGTTAGTGT